TGTTGTTGTTTCTTGACCAGCATATTAATTGAGTGTACCTGCACAATTTAGATCAGCTTGAGAATATGCTTTTAAAGGAATAAGAGAATATCCAACAAGAAGAAATAAACAATTTATTTCATGGGATGCCATCGAGAATGGCAGTAGTCTTACAGGTTCGTGGAGGAAATACCCGTTGTTGAGTTATTAAGCAGTGTGTCAATGATCATTGATTTTGCTTTTTTGGAAACTTTAATTTTTTTTCAGCTTTGTTGGATTATTGAATTTTTTCATTTTCTATTAAAATAATATATTTTTTAGTTTTTTTTTTGGATACAAATATTACAATAAGCGTTGCATAACAACAGCAAAGTATTACAACCGAAATCGTACTTTCTTTTGCACATTTTCGGATCTTTAAAAAAAAAGGGTGGCCCATTTTTCGTGCCGGTGAGTGTATCTGTATATATATGTATATACAGATAAAACTGAGAAGTCTCCTACAAAGTTAAGATCTCCGTACTAACGAGCCACATCTTGAAGTATGAAAACGACAAACTGCAAAATTATGCGGGTTAGCATCTGAAATTAAGGCTATGTGGAAAGAAAAAGTCGATTTTCCAGAATTACATATGCTGGTTGGCATATGAAATTAAGGAAATGTGGCAACAAGAACAGGTTTAAATAATTCTTCTTTCCATCTCTGCATCAAGCGTTTGATAAACTGAGTTCTATACCTATAATATAACATACTTTTTTTGGCAAATCTACTAAATTAAATTGTTATAATCGTACAAAGATATAAGTAAGTAAGAGATCTGTGAAACGGCTACGTAAAATTGACTATGTACTAAGTTTACATCAGAATACTACATTGTATTATTTATTGTTATTTATTTTTCTTCAGAAATTTCGATAATTTTGAAATAACATCAAAAACAGTAGTCTCCATATGATTTTTTGGCAATCAATTTGCCAAAGGGAATCCCATTTTTCTTACACGCATCAATTTTTTTAATTCAGTCGAATATAATATACCACTTTTACTAGTGCCTAATCCTTCTTCACCTTTTTGAATGTATAATCAAAACAAAATATTTAATGCATAGCAAGCCAACGCAGTTGACAACAAACCAGACAATTATCTAATCGAAACAAAGCAGCCTCAAAACTGATCTCACACTGAATACTTCTAGAGGCGATTTTTATATAAACGTTATGCCCCCGCTGAAAAATATTTGTATGTATACAGTGGGAATTTAGGCATCTTTCGACACTAATGAGATTCAGTTCATTATCGCTTGTAGTGTTATATACGTGGTAAATACCACACAGCAAACACTAAGATGAAATAATATTCCTGGCACAAGTCTACATAAATATCTAATATCTACATAGGAAATGTCGAGTATAAATTATTGAATTAACAGGATAAGTAAAATGTGCTCTATAATAAGTTATACCTAAATTCAAATAAAAACAAATTCGAAGATAAAAAGAAAACTCTTGATTAATTTTGCAATGATCTATTAATTCGTTACAATTTTTTCTTTAAAGGTTAAGGACAAAATTCTTCACCATTTTAATCCAGAACAAATTAATTAAAAAATTATTTCTTTTTATTTTCCCAGCGCAAACGAAGGAAGCACTTTATTGTAATAGGATCTGTCTGACGAATGGCTATTTTCATGTTTTCTTGGCATTCCATGACCCCATTTTTTTATTTCCACAGTTATCATTTTGAACGTCAATTTTCTCCCTGAAAAATATAAAAACACAGTACAGTTATAATTAGTGCGTAAACAGACTTACTCTTTCAACATTCGTTCGGAGTTTTTTTTAAGAATCCATAACTCAGTTGTTTACTTTCAATGAAAATTATCATTTAGGTATACATTATTTAATGTTCAATAAATTAGTATAAAGTGCTAATTTTATTTTTCAGTTGCCTTCATAATTTAAATGGGTATTATGTTTTAAATTACTGTATTTGAAATTGATAATATAGCAATAATAAAATAAAATTTCCATGTTTGATAATAATCTTTTTTTTCAGTTAAATACTGTAGAGTCAACAGATTACGTCACTTCTTTTGTAATTTAGTATTTGAAACTCTTACCTGAAAACTCATGTGCTGTATGTATGCAATTTTTTTGATAAATAACGATGTTGAAATGTACGACGAGTAAATATATGGAAAAAATAGCTTCAACTTCAGACTTAATTTTTTTTCATATTTACATATGATTAAGGTTTTTAGAAGTAGTCAAGCTAATAAACTTTTGCTCAGTAAATCATACCTAAGATATTTTGGTTTTTGTAAAAAATGAAAAATCTGCTACAAAATTTCCATTGTCTCTTAGAAACTACATGATCGATTGCTCTGTATTTTGCATATGCGTTTATGTTATCGTGGATCTTGGTAAATCGCTAACTATTATTTATCGCTTTATCTCCATCGCGTCATTTCAAAAGTTTGGCTGTTAGTTTTTATTTGAAATGCACATAATAGGGTGCTTTCCATACATGTGATTTATTAATTCTCAACTACATATTTGACCTTATGCATGTGGGTTGTCGGAAAAAATTCTGAATATGTATTACAACAAAGTTTTATGGGTTACTGTAGAAACTACCTGACTTGAAGCTTTGTTTCTCGTGCTTTTCATTTTCCAGAAATTCGTGTAACAGATTAAACTAATAAATGTGTAGCCGCACGAAAAATTAATAAATTAATGCATCTTGTGTTAATACAATTCATTCAAAAAAAAAGCTCCAATTAACACACAAAACTGATTGTGCTTCAGCGACGAGGAAAATTCTTCTCAAATAATTTTAAACCAATATTTGCGATATGTGATAGAGACAAAAATTCTGCTGCAGCGCCGTCACTATTTTTTTTTTTTTTTTGTTAATTTGTTAAATAGTTGCACGTTTAACGTCACTCGTCATAATTAAAAGTAAAAAAAAATTGATAAAACTTTTCGAAGTATGAAAACATTTAACATACCACATGTAAACATTAATTTTGATGGGTCCAATATTTATTTTTTTTGATTCATAAAGCGATTTGAATTACTCGAATTTACAAATTTATAACTTCCCAGACCGCCACCTATCGATTAGGAAGATATAGTAAGTAAGTTTATGCAAGCGCCCTCTCGTAGCCAGTGGCTAAAATGTGGTGTTTGTCGTCACAGAGCTTTGCTGCGTGTGAGCAGGATATTACTCTCTGTTAAAACGACTACTGTAATACGTATTAGATCTCTGTTATATTGCAGTTCATTATTTAATTTGTAGAAATTACTTTGAACTCTATTGATTTATAACAGTTATCTTTAAATATTACATATATTGATCATTTGTATTATTTTATTTTCAATATACAGAGCTCTTTAAACAACTAATGAATTATGCAACGCACCGCTAATTCTGAATTGTCAATTATGCACCCCGAGGAAACTAATTTTAACGAAAGTTTGATTTCATGCTCTTACACGGTTTCACAATTCGTAAAACATGTTTGAAATGTGTAGCGGGCTAGAGGTTTTTACTTGGATTTTTCTCAAATCCACGCTGCCCTTTGGCTCTACGTACACAGGTTTCCTTAAAACAAACAACAATGATACCTAATACATATATATCGGACAAACCAGTTTTACAATACACAGAGAATTATTATTTGACATTATTGATAAAATACCAACATTCTCTTAAAGGCTACAAAACATTTGTTTATTCATTAGAAAATTAATAGGTAACGTCATCTCAAAAAATTACCACATTTTTATTGTCGTAATTAAAAAGAAATCATTTAGATACCCCCTCAATAAACAAATAAATGATGTATTTAGTTTTGAGATTATCCGGGAAATGTTTTGTTAATTCCACAGAAATTCTGGAAACACATTCATATTGTGGTTACTAATTAGTGTTTGGTTGTGTCTACGAAAATGGATATATTTAACTCAGTCAAAAGCTGATAACGTCAACTCAACAAACTATCAGAGATGTGACATTACTTTTGATGTAATACTACCTATGTGCTCGCATTTTTAGAATGCTTATATAGAAAATTTGTTATCGATTAACTCGAAAATACTGTCATCTGATTTACCTGAAATTCTGGAAACATAAAGAGTGATTTTGTGATTAGCGTTACATATAGCGTAAATTTTTAATTAATATTCTTGTTCTTATCTAATTTTTGTCGGTCATTTAAAACAATTGTAAAAAAAAAATAAATACTGGAAAATGGTGTCCTCCATAGGGAAGTCAGACGTAAATAACCTTCCAGTTTATTTTTAGATATGTAATTACTCTTGATTACTGACTTTTCTGGTGCATTATATAAATCTCTTCCGATTCGAACCACTTTTTCTTGGATCTTTTTCTCTTTTCTGAGTGGTTACTTTGCTGACTTTGCTCGTTTGGTATTGTTTTGGTGCTCTAGTCATCTCTGTGCTTTGTAGGTAAATAAGTATAGTGAGATTTTCATATAAAATTGCATTTTTTTTACTTAGAAGGAATATTCCTTTCTTGTCAACAAGGTTGTGTTTTGCTGTTTTTTGTTTTTTGTTTTTTTTATTTTCTAACATAAACTTTATCTTAAAAATATATTTCACCATACGTAAAGTGACTAGAATATGAAGTATAAATTGACTACCTCGTAAAGACATTATTCGAAAATATTTATATAAGTATATAATTTTATTCTTCGTAACTATTCATAATTTCATCTCTTTGCCTGCAAATCTTTAGTGATAGATTAGTAAAATTGTTGTTGGTATTGTTCAAACTTGCGCTTGTAAAAATAGTGCTTATTAATTAACATCATTGTGATTTCTGAAAACTTAACATTTTTTTTAATTCGTGCAATATATAATAAATACATGTAGATTTAAGTAAATTAAGTGGGTTACGTTATGATAAATTACTACGAAAAATTGGTAAAATGACTTTTTAAAATAAGTAGGTTGTAAAATCAGGTAAAAAAAATGAGATATGAAAAAGAACATAATTCCAAATAAATGTATATATTTATTATACTGCTCAATGAAAACACAGTCACAACATCTCGACTATCCCGTGGGGCCTGAGCCTTCTGGGGGTCGAAACAATTGCTGTACACCAAATAGTAAAATTGTCTAATGTAACATGGATACGGCACACGCTAAATAAACAAAAGCAACGTAGGAAAGTGCTATCATCGCACACTATGAGTACTTTGTACGTATATAGTATAGTATACGTCGCCACGTCCCCATGCAAACGCATATACCAACATAGCACCCATCTCTGAACCATCCCTCTATATATTATATATAAATTTTTATATACAAATTCATTTAAAAATTCCTAAATCTTAATTTTATTAAATTTATCAACCTAAAATCTCTACAATAATTTTGTCAATACCAAATTTTGATTTACACCAATATAAATATAAAAATACTCTTAAATTTTTACACATATAAACCATCGGATCGATTTAGAGATGGGAGCGAGAAATTAAATTTTGAGCTATCTCGATTTTTTCACATTTTTGTACTAAATATACAATCTTATTCGATTCTCTATCGACGCAATGCCTAACCTTATAATTATACTGTAGTTCGGAGCCTCGTGGCGCTTAACACCAGTGACTGTGACCCATCTCGACAACCTGCCACTTTTCAACCCGAGATTAAGCCCGACTGGTCGATCGATCCATCTTTAAAGAGTTGGATCGTCAAATGCCCAATTTCGAGCTACAAATTTAAACCTAAAATTATTTGTGAACAATAGCCAAATGAGTGGTAAATTTGATTTAAAATATCTATGCGACTTGAGCAGTCGCATTTCCAGAAATTTAGATGCCGAACGTTTATACAATATCAGTGGCTTGAACATGACGATTGTCACATTGTGTCGTTGTCGAGTATTAACAAGGAAGACCAAAGAGTCATCTGGTGACGTGAAATTAAACTTAATAGGGATGGCGAACGCAACCATATCGACGTTTCTTCGTATTGCACGTGTATATTGGAAACCGTCGGCTGAGAGAACGGCCAAAATTTCGGATTTAAAGCGAATCGGAAGTTTCTCGGAAGGATGGAAACGGAATCGTGTGTCGTACACTATCAAGTGGTGTGGGACATGTCAGTTTCCAGTGATCCGGTTGTCGAAGAAGACGTTACAGTTGCGTTTGCCTTAACAAATAACAATAACAGCTAACGTAATCTGTGTAACACGGGTAACTGAAACCATTGAATCTGTATGTTTATTATCTACTTCTAATCATCAAAGTTACTATATACCACAAATAGTATAGCCTGGGCGAGAGAGTACCTCGTTTCGGCCACCTTAGCATAACAATATAATATTTATGAAATAATCTTATGTTTATGTAACCGAGTGTCTCTGGTGGAAACCGAGCAAAAGTACAGTCGGCAGAGCAAGTCCCCGGAAGAGTTTTGGTTGGGCGTTGTGTCTATTTAGGGCCCTTAATTTGTAATTTTTTTCGTAAAAACAACTTTGAAGGCACTTTTTGAACGGACGAATTGGCCCAGTGGAATTTTTGAATGAGTAAGTATCCGGTTTAGAAAATTTCGATAAACTGCATTTTTTTGGTTGGTTGCCTTCATTTGCTATTGTTTCAGTTTCAGTGTGGCTCTTTTGTGACTATTTCAGGTTGAGAACGCTCCCGAGGACCGATCCTGCCGCAAAACAATGTTTGCTACGTAACGAAATCATCAGTGGTGGTGGAGGTGCTGTCGTTGAAGGGATGACGTCGTGCGTCGCGACGCCTCCGCCCCCCGGATACACTACGATTAATTGGGCGCGGGGGCGAAGGTTTGGCGGTCGTGACGCGACCGGACACGGTAAATCAACATGTCGACGACTAGTGGCTACGCTGTAACGCAACGATAACGGTAACGCAACAGAGCTCGCAAAGAAAGCGGGAACTGAGGCGAATTTAACGGAGACACCCGGCGGTTTACCAACAATTGTACATGTATACTACAACCCACACAAAATTCTATGTATTACATATTGGACTAGATTAGTTGATAATTAATTTTATGGAAACGGTTAAAAATCGTCAGTGTCAGGTGATGAAGAACGATACACACTAGCAAATTAATAGCGCTATAACGGTAGGAGATTTTCGTCATAAGAAAATAGAATAAGGCAGATTTTGGTTATACACACTCATATCATTTTTGCTTCGAAATTTAATTTTAAGGCGCAGAGGTGCTTAAAAATAAGCTTGTACTTTTTTCGTGATATTTTTATGTATCATTTTTGAACCGGTGACCTAAACGTTTTTTCCGAACAGTGTTTTGAACCTGTAAAGCAGAATCCTCCTGTAACGAAACAAGAAGAATAACGACCTCCACACGCATACCGTGGCCTCCGCGGAGTTTGCCCCCCGTGCCAAGATGTCATCCGAATGTGTGTGCATATGGAACCAAACGATGCAAAACTTATAATTCAAAATAAGATGTTTTCGAAATGGCCAAAAGTTGCAATAAGAATGTCAATAAAGGAATCGGAATCATGTTGGGGGTCCTACCTAAGGAAGGGATACTACACTACTAACCCCGGTGGGGCTCTTGGAGCGACCTCAAAAATTACTTAGACAGTCTCATCCAGAAAGCAATGTAATTCCTCCGGGACCTTATTCAGGCCTTTTCTGAATTCATCTGTTAGATTTGTCTTCAACAATTCGGTCAGCCTTCGGCTTCTCGCGAATTGAGGTGAGCTCACTAGCTCTTTTGTTTTCATGTATTCTTTTATTTTTTTAGTTCATCAGCATTTATAATCATCATCATTGGTAAAGCTGTGAGATTTCAAGTTAAAGTTGGGTGAATTGTTAAAACCAACAGTAACTTTTTGAGGTCTTCATTGTCAAGTACACGAACTGATGGCGCAATCATAAACAAGAAGAGAACCCTTCACCTACCACCGAAACTACGAACGTCACCTTATTACGTGTAATTAATTCTATCATTCCTTCTTGCTCATCATTACCACCAGCCCGCCGCCAAGTAAAAATCTGCAGGATTCGTTCTAAACAACAATTTTAAATTAAAGCACTTAGGTCTCTTCATTATCCCTTTGTCACATACCAACGGTTCACAAACTTTGTACTTGAAGAATACTCGACCCGCTATTTCTTAATATATTTGAAATCAACACCGAATATGTGCATTAGCTACCAGACGAACAACTATTGTATTGGAGAAAAGCTTATTTACATCAAGTATTTATTATTTTCATTAATAACCATTATTTGGATTTGAAGGGTCGAGCGTTTGCTTGTTTGCAAACCATCAGCATTTTCGGGTACTTTACAGTCGACAACGTTATATACTTTAAATCTTAATAAATAACTATTTAGATTACTCTAATTTTTTAATTTGGTTTTTCAACTTTTTAATGTAATGTACCGATTTAGGTCCCGAGAACCAACTGAAAGCCAACGTAAGATCACAAACATCCAAACGATCAATTTTGAAAAGAAACTCAACATCTAACGATAACAAAATCTACAAATAAATCGTAATGGAATGGCAGTCTTACAATTTCGGCAGTATATCGAATATAGGATTTTTAGGAACAGCAAAATCACGATTTCCTAGCCTTCGGTCGAAGGCTAAGTTAAGAGCTCTCGGGACCTCCGATTGTTCGTGACTTCAACTATTGCGGGATGTGAAGGAAACCATGAGCACGAAATTTATGTACAATTTACGATTTATGGCTCAAAATTATTGTACTCGAAATATTATCACACTGTAAACTGTCTTGAAACAAACAAAAATAAAAACAAAAAGCAAAATAAAGATAATACGATTTATTTTTACTGACTAGTTGCCTCACACTGTATTTGCATTCATCGTGTAGATCCTACACTATTTGATTGTGCAAGTGATTAAAATTAATTCAGTTATAAAATAAAATAAGAGTAATATTAGGTAGGTATGCTAACAAAAATTAAAACATAGCAACTAGTCTAAAACTAAACAGAACGGTTAAAACAGAAGTGGGATAGAGAAGGATACAAAATAAATACAAAACAAGGCATACCTACATAATATAATAATGGGATGAATCACAGAAATTAGACTTGCTGATTGTATTTGATACAAAGTGTAATTGCTGCAATAAATCATTTCGGTACTGCACTCCGAGTGTATTATTATTAACTCAAAGTGTAGTACTTCATGTACGTAAGAAAATTCAAAAGGGAATAATCTTACGTTGGACTAGTAAAACAAAAACTTTGGTTCAAATAATAATAATAATACAAGACATAAATAAAATTACGTGATAAATACTATGTACAAGTCGCGTTATATACAAGTGGGAAAAGGGTGGGCAGTTTACAGTGGCGCTGAAAGTAACCATGCCAGAAGTAACGCAATTGTAGTGCAGATTTTGAACTTGCTGACTGCTGGTTGAAAAGAAAAGAAAGACTTGACGTCATAAAATTCTATCCGGTAAATATTCAGGTAATCACTGGAAAATTGATTGATTTGTGTTCACTGTTCGTCTGAACGAACATAAAGCCTGAGGCGATAAAATTGTCTTTCTGTCAACTAAACACAACTATTTAACAAGAGTGTCCGGAACAAGTTTCGAAGATGGCGTCACTGCGGCGTCCTCCAAGCTTATTCTCAGCAAAACAACATAAACTGTTGACAGTTTTGTCACGTGTCACCGATTCTCTCTGGTGTTTTTGCCGTGTCTAACGGATGGTACTTCGTGGTAACCAGTGGTTACCATTGGGTACCGGCTCTTCGGTTCGGCCAACCGGTCACTCCAACTGCTCCAGGAAATTGGGGGATTTGAAATATTCCGGGACTGGGTCGTCCAACCTAGAGATAATCTTGTAGATTGACTTCTTCCAAGACTGCTCGGCGTCCCTGCCCTCCTGGATAGCCTTGAAAAACTCCCGGAGCGTTTGCTCCACGACGAACCGGAAGTTTGAAGGAACCTAGAACGCCACATTATGGTGAGATCGCTTGGAAGAGACGCGCGTTCAAAGCGGCGACAGGAAGAGGAGAAAAATACACTAGCAAAATAAAAAATAATACGGCAGATACGTGATATTGCCGAAGACATCTGCTCGCAAAGCAAACAAAAAATTTTCTGTGTAGGATTGATGATGCTTTTTATTGATGGATATTTTCGGGTTGGCTGTTAGATGTCTCGGTAAGAATCACGAACCTGAGGTCCCCATACCTCGATGTGATTGTTTCTGTTGTAGTGCAAATTGAGCACCCGGTATAATTCGGAATCGCCACCGACATGCAGATCGTCAGCGTTCTTTACACCCTCTGAGACTGCCTGTCTGGCGTACTTCTCCATTTGGATGTAGTAGAACTCCCTGTAACAAGCAAGAGTCATAAAGTTGGGGATCTGGCAATAACAAAATATTCTGCTACACAGAAAACAATTCAAAATTTCGAAAAAAGTGTAGATATGCAGCAAAAACTAGAACTATTTTCAAAAGTCGCAACTAGAGTCAGCATTTTGAAAAATATTTTAAGATATAATTAAAAAGTATTATTACATCATTATCTCACATTGGTTTTAGTAACTTCTGACATCTTGAAAAACAAGACATTTGTGAAGGATACAATTTTAGAAAGAAATTAATGCACAGTTCGTCACGGGTGTTCATTTTTGTCCCCCATGTCGTTATTTGCTTCAAATGCACATCAACAAATAATACCCACATTCATGATAAAAAATTACCCTTCTCTGCCTTGTTACACATATAATTTTCTTTTTGCGGTATAAATGATACTAGCTTCGTTTTTTAAATTTTGGGAGCGCTTTGTTTTTTAACTGATGAAAGTAAACAAAAATTTGTTGTAGGTATACTCAACTGCAACACAAATAGCGTCTTTTTAATGCCATTGTATTAATGCATGAAGAACGATAAAATCAATAGTATTTTTTTAATTTCTTCATTTGTTAACGACTTGCAGGTAATAACGGTGAAGACCTAATATTGTATTTATAGCATGCCACCTGTGAGCAATGCATACCACACACGTAATAGTGTGTAGATCGATGAATTAAGTGGCAATTACAGCAATCATGGTGATGCTGTTCAATTCAATTGTGTCACTTTACTGCCCCTCACAAATTTCTACAGCCCACTTTCAAACGAAGAAAGAAGATGGGCAAACTAATGTCTAAACACGTATGAGGGCGTCAGTGCAACAGTTAAAGCAATTAACAGTTTGCTTATAATAATAATAGAAATGTTTGTGTTTAAACGGTATTAATATTGCCTAAACATGGTAGTGTCATGTCATTGAATCCGAACGCCAATTATAGGCCAATTGGGCATACATAATTAATATGGTTGTATTAGCCATGTTATATTATTAACGCTAACAACTGTTGCTTTCGATTAAACACATTCGCGGTTTGCACCGTTTCCAGAATGGTTTTGGAAAGTGTTTTTACCTAAATCTCTCTGACCTGTGCCGAGTTCAAACCCGCATAATACTTATTCGTTCTGCATTCAAAGAACGGCACCGTATTGAAAAAATCACCTGCTGTCTTCGTTACTCAAGACATGCAGGTATGCTAAGCGATTTTTTCTATTCCTGCTACCCTAAAGACCCCTTAATTGTTGCTGAAAATCTTGCAAGGATTTATTTTCCCACCAGGTAAGTCACACGGCAACCGTTCCTTCGAGCAAAAGACGTTACACACAACAAAAGATTTAACAGCTGCTTTTTGATTTACCCTCCCCAAGTCGATTCGAAGGGGCCGCAGACCCTTCAAGACGTTCCCGCAGCGTCTTGAGACACGCGTCTTCAACGTTTGCAAGAAGCTGGGGCAGGGCTGTCCAAAATCCAAATTCAGTAAATGAGACCCGAAGAAGGAAATGCGCGCCAATTTTTGTTTTTGTTTGATATGGACTCATACATGCTGGAGATATTTTCTAGACATGTGTAAAATTTTGCAAAATTACTGATTTTTTTTACATACAATTGTGTTCACAGAAAAACATTTGCGAGGTGTTGTTTTGAGAGATTTATTTATACAAAAAAATGTCAGTGAAAAAAGTAATTAAATCATGTGTGGTCCTTTTGTTTTAACAAAATTCTATTTTTGGTGAAACTATGATTTATAGGAACACTATTGTGGTGGTATATTTGGACAACCCTACCTGAGAAAGAAGTTAACGAAAAGGGCGCGCACACGGTATTTGAACAATACCGGCACAGGAGAGCCTCGGGCAGATGTTCAAATTGAGTGCACAAAACCGTTAGGAGCTATCCCAGTGTCACTCCGTATTGGCAGGTTTTGTTGTATTGTAGTATTTTCTTTCCTTTGGGAAAAAGTGTGAACATTCCGGAAAAGAACTTTTAATTTATAATAATTGTGTTCAAATATATAATTACGTTTTTGTTTATTACAAACAATTTTATCAAATATTATTAACTACAAAAAAGAGTTGAAAAGAATGAAATAAGAACAGAAGGAAAACAATAAAATAAAAAAAAATATGTGAACTTGTTACAACAAATTATTGCATTAATTTATTTGTTAGAAATTAAAGATTTAGAATGCTATAAAACGTTACAAACTGTAGAGTTGTCTAATTTTTGTCTTTATTTTTACGTGTTTACATATTATTCTTATTAGTATTACATTTGGTGCGCTACTTTATTCATTGTTTTTTTATAATATTCATACTAACCCACAATTTCAAAAACTATAAAATTTTACAAAAAAATATAAAAAAAAACATTCAAAATATTGTTTAAATGACCATAGAACTTTGAAACAAAATTAAACTACTTATGTGAAATATTTAAAAGCAACTTTGCATTTACAATATTTTAAAAGTTTAGACTATAGTAAATATATTTCATATAATGTCGAGGTTAAGGCTAAAATGTATCTTTGTAATGGGATAGCGAGCTTTATTTACAGTAATTTCAAAAACATGCCTCAAAAAGCATTTCGTAGTGGAGTGTTTTTATGTTGTTTTCAAGCACGATATTTTTTACACGTGTATAATAATTTCGTAGCGGGATCGGATGACATATACCTACATGACTACAGAATTTTTCGCTCAAAATAAATTTAGTCCTCAAGCATTGTTTAGAATAGAGTTTCGAAGTTTTTTTAACCAGAGTAACTTATTTAAAAATTTTAAATTAACAAGAAACTTTGTAAGGTAAAAAATCTCATAATAGTTTCGCAACTTAATTGGTGCCTAAAGAAGATAACAATAGTAGGTACCTACCAACCACACATCAGTTGATCGACCGATTTTTAAATAAAGTAGTTTTAGAAAAATAATGAAAAATGCTTTGAACAACTTATTAGATCAGTAAATAAATTTCAAAATTGTCCCTCCCATGTAGGTTACTGTTAAAAGAAAGCAATATTCAAATCACGCAACACAACTGATTAGTTACTTATATTCTTTTCTGTTTTTAAGGTAGTGATAAAAATTATCTTCAAGGACCCTTCATCGGTGTGTTTATTTCTAAATGACAAACCTAATATAGAAAACAGTTTGGCCACATTTAATTGTTCTATCCACAATTTTTCATTCTATTTTATTAACGTCCATGCCTACGATTTTTTCACGTTCGACATACAAAGAAAGAGATTTTAGGAATATTGCATTTCAGTCAGTCTTAATAAAGTACGACTCTTGTTGAAAACTTGTTCACTGCAACGTTTTTAATTAGAAATGATTAATTAGCGTGAACAAACTTAGAAGAGTATTCCAGAATGTACTTTACAATACAGAATTGTCGTTATTGTTTGCATCAACGTTCAGTGGAGTTCTTGTCGCGATAAATTATGAAATTGAAAAAGTAAGTAAATGCAGAGAAGATGCGCAGATTTGCTCCTTGGACGAAGCGTCGGAGGCAAATTAGTTTAAAGTGACCGGAAATGGGGTTTAATGGGTTCGGACCCTGCGTTTTTCACGCCCGTTCCGTTCCCGTCTTACCACATAATTATATTGCAAATTAATTATCTTAATTGGTAATTGATTGCACTGATTGATCTTTAATTAGAAATGTACTTACATTAGCGTTATCTTGAGGCAAAAATCTATTGTTGTAGGGCAACCTTCCACCATTAAGTAAATTAAAAATAATTAATAAATAAACCGATGTTTTTAGGAGTTTCGGGTATAACTTATACGTTCCGGGAGGTTTGAGAAAAATTAATGTGCGATTTACTTCGCTAATGACTAATTTAATATTAAAGTTAATGAGATTGAAAAGGACGGAGCGATATCCCAAAAGAAAAATGCCAACCCTACTAATTAGACTCAAGACCTTAATTAAGTCATTTTTAATTGAGCAGCGCGGTAATGCCGAAGTTTTTTCTGTTTTAAGGTTGCACACTCTGATGCATAAAGTTATACAAAGGCAGAATGCAGCTAATTAAAAAAATGTTAATTATGAATTAAACATTTTGTCGAGAGAAGTTCTTGAGCTTTCGTGAAAAATTTTCAGTGTTTACTCGAGAGTAATTAGAGTGCTTACCTTATCATCGATCGATTACCGAAGTAACTTTCGATGTTTTTATGTAAATTCGTTCGATGATATCTGATAAAACTATCAAACGCAAGGCAATTTTCATATTCTTTTATTACTAAATTGGATAGATTAAAGCGTGCGATATTGAATTTCTTATCTTATCACTTGAGGTCCATCTGTTTAAACAGACAACAATAACTTATTCCTGCTAAGCTTTTGTCAGAGCTTTTGTCCGTGTTCCACATATTATCGACTCGATAAATTACGAATTTTATTATAATCGTATGCACAATATTTTTTTATAACGCCAGAACTGCTGATAGACGAATGCTCCTTTTGCCCCGAAGCTCACATGCATGCAGCGGTTCTGGCAACAAAGCTTTTCGTTTCATTTGCTAGTTGGCATGTATTCGTTTCGTTGCTGCTTTTAAATCAAAACTCTCGGAAAAGTTTTTATCGTCGCGTAATACGTGGATTCTTTTATAAGGAAATGTCGCGTCCCACATACTCATTTGTCTAATTATAAATACAAGAAAATGTTCGCTTTCATTTTAGCCATTTCATGCAAGCACGGTATAAAAAAGACTATGAACTCACCTGAAGTTTGAGAACCACTTGACCAGCTGGGCAGTGTTATTCTTATTAAACTTGATGTCGGGGAAATACATTTTTAGTACTGCTGAGCTCGGATACCGAACCCAGAAGAACATCAGTTTTGCTTTCCTGAGATGCATCGGTGTCAATGTTGACGAGTGCTCAGGAGTTAAGGAAATATTCGTCTATTTGAAAGAAGAAAAAGAGAACACATAGTACAGTAATCACATGAATTGATTTTACCGTACAATTTAATTCATTTCATTCATTATTGTGGGGAATTGCTGTATTTACTTTTGAAAAAAATTGAGAGATCTGTGCTGAAATAATTGATAAGTGAAAAAGCAAACTAGTAATTTCAGCAAATGCAGTTATAACTTATTCTTTTTCTTAACCACATGTTAGAGTACACGATACTCTCATACACCATAAGACGAAGATATCAAGTATTCATGAACTGATCTAACTCGCTGTTACGAAGTGACTAATAATAGATATCGCGACGAACGAATCAATTTGATAGAAAATTCTTTCTCCTTTATATAAAATTTAGTAAAATATGGGCGTCGTTAATGTGTGTCGACGAAAAGAATTCTTTCGACGTGATTTCGTGTGTCATCAATAAGAATAAAATGGATTAAATTATAGGGATTCGAGCATTGTTTAATCGCGACTTGAGTTAGAGGGGAAAGGTCTAAATGAAGACCCTCAACTGAACTGAACGAATTAAATTACGTTGAATAAAACAATACGTACATGGTGACTACTAAGATTTTTACTAAAATCTTTGCATAAAAAGGATATAGTAGGCTGCATTCCATCATAGGCGATGTCCCCTGAGTTACAATCTGAATTTCTATCGCCGTTGTCCATGTTCATGCCCCCAGACGGCGCCCTTAGTTGTCCGTAATCGGGAGAACCTCCATGTTGGGCAGCAGCTAAGAGAGCAGGATGCAGGAGCGTTGGGGGATGGTGGATCGGAGGCGATTCTCGCTCGATTTTGTGCATGCGAGGTGGTGATGACGATGCCTGCAAAAACATACACAAAATAAATAAGCTTGCTCGGGAATTTCAAGCAATCCGTGTACGAACCTGCATCGCCATGTGGTGTCCGTGACTTGGTCCATGAAAGAAGGGGCTGTAGGGCGAGAAGACCTGAGATTCGTGCAAGCCGGGGTTGGGAATCGCCACCGAGGTCGGAAGGGAGACGGGCAACATCGGCGGCGGCTGGTGATATGGGGGCGGTCGCGGCGAACTGCACGTGTTCGGCTCCATGGAGGCGGGCGACATGCCGATGCCGTCCTGCCCCAGGATCCTGCTGACCGTCCTCGGAGTGATCCTCGTGTCCGTCACCTTGTGCCTCTTTTTCTTCGGCGTCACCACGAGGCTAAGCGCTTCGTTTTGCTCGGGGTTTTCTTGCTTGGACACGCAAAACGGGTGGTTCATTCCAAAGAGGGGGGCTTGGCTTATAGCCGGAGGTTTAGGAGGTTGAAACATCGGAGGCCTTATGTGGAGGTCGTTCGGTTTCTGCATGCTATTCATGTGAACGGGCATCATCGGAGGGCACCCTCTCGTTCCGTTGACCATTTGGTTGTTGGGCGGGGGCGGCGGTGCTTGCGGCCTTTCGGCTACTTTGGTCCGCGGCGATTTTCTGTCTAACAGTTGCGAGGCCATCATCAAGTCTTTATTGAGTTGTTCGGCGGCCGTGGCTGCCTCTGTTTGTTTACATCTCCTCTGATGGACGAACCTTGACAATATCGAGTCGATCAGATTTGATAAAGACGAGGTAATTTCGGATTTGAGAGCGTCGGCGAGGCCTTCCAAGTCCGTACCTGTCGGTGTCATGTTTCTCATAATGTGTAATCTATCAGCTATGTTTTCAGGTTTTTGCGAAGAATGATGAGATTGATGCTGTTGGGATTGTTGTACTGACGATTCGCTGTTCATTGCCGCCACCGCCGCCTCTTTGGCAAGCCGAGCTTCTTGCTCCATAAGAAACTTGTGACTTACGCCCAAGTACATGGCGGCGGCACTGCTCATATGCTGGTGATCGTGATGTAACATACCGTTATGGAAAGGAGGTCCTGGAGGGCTTATTTTAAGTTTGCTCACCTGCTGCGCTAAACTCGGAGGTGGTTGATTCGGGGGAGTACTTGTGGTTATAGGCGAAGGCGGTGCCGATCGTTTGCTATTTTCACTATCACTGGGAATTTCCTCAATTTCCTGACTTTCCTCCGACCCCTGTTCAACGCGCGTACACAACTGCATGTATTTTTGTTGCATTTCGGCTAACTGTTCTTGCATCGTCCGTAGCTGTGACTTGAGTAAATTCTTTTCGACGCGTTTCTGCCTTATCGGTTCCGCACTTTCTTCCTCCTCGTCGTCGATATACCTTTCCGCATTGCTGTCGTGTTGTTGGGGTTGGTAAAGTTTTCGTTTTTTACAACCGTTGACTTGCGGCGGCGCCGGGCTGGACCGCATACCTGAGACAATGTTTTCGACTCGCGCCTTCTTGGCGTCTTCTGGTTTGGCCGGACTGGAAGGCTCCACCTTTGGCGACGGCAGCGACTCGGTTTCCATGCCGTTGAGGGCCTCCTCCATCAGTTCGGCCTGCTGCCGGTCGCCAACTCCCGCTTCGGCCAGGCACTCCTTCATGGCGGCGGCGACTTCCACGTCGTTGCGCTCTGGTTCCGCCTTGGGTTCGTTGTTGTTGTTGTTGATGATGTGGTCCTGGCCGTTGCGCATGTCGTGTTCCAAGGCTAACAGCTCGTGTTTTCGGCCTTGCAGGATGTCCCGGAGCATGTGGTGGGCCAGTTGCTCGCCCGAGGGCGGGCTGCCGTCGCACCGGATCACCGAGTCGAACTTCCCTTCTTCGCCGCCTCCCTCACCGCCGCCTTCGGCCTTCTGCCGTCCCAGCAGCTCGTTGAGCATCTTAGCGGGCGCGAACCCTGGTCCGAAAAGACCGAACTGCTGCTGTTGAGTGAAAATTGCGCCGTACAGGTTGTTGCCACCACCGAGAAAAGTCGGACGCGAACTGAAATTCGGGATCGACGAGTACGAGTTACGCGGCTCACCGGCGTCTACGCGCTGTCTAGTTCTTTTGGTTTTCTTCAGGAGCTTATCTGTGTACAAACCGAATTCAGTCTCCTCCTCCGATGACATCATAAGTTCCAGCGTTATTGGTCGGTCTATGTGCCCCCCTCCAGATATTCGTCCCCACTTTAAGAATAGTCGCCCATGTCAATACCTGAAACAGAGGAACCGACTTCAGTTTCAGTGCAGCGTCACGGTTGCTCGAGGAAGAGGGGCTCGAGCTCGAGCACCTGCGGACACGGAACAACTGTTGATCCTTTGCATCAACCACCGTGCTACGCACGAGCCCGTCTTTTAAATGCTTCACGTATACAGCTGTATTATACACCGTCTATACCGAAATGTTACCATAATACACCTTCGGTTAAACAAAATAAATAAAAAACCTTCAAAGCATTTCATTTGTTATCAATATTGATGAGAATTTTCACAAAAAGCTCGTTGGTTATTTCATTTTTGCCATTATTCGAATTTAATTAACGTCATTATTTCCAACGAACAAAAAAGAAATCTCTTACATTTACCACCAAAACGAATTTGCTATTTTATTTATTAATTATCACTAACCTTTCAGGCTTTTTAAAACAACAGCAACGCGCAGCAGCGTCTATAGAAAAAAGCTCGTAACCTTCCCAGGTAAACATAATTATTATGTATGTATGTAGGTATATATAAATTTTTTAGATAAGGATATAATTTAGGCTGATAAGACAACGAATTCAAACGACAGATGGTAAAATATTGTGAGAATTTCCAGTAAAGTACACTCCAAGGGCCATATGGCACCGCCTATGCGTTCTCGACGTAAAGACGAGCAGTAGATAACAATAGCGAAAAGCACCGGGGTGTCCTGTCAGATAATCGTCCTCGTTCCCCACTCAAAACGAATTATTCAAAAGCTAATGGTTTTATACGTATAGCATAAAGTGTTGGGTGGATGTCACCAAAGTAAACTTAAAAAGCTAGCGGTTTAAATTAGAAACAAAGATCATATAACAGATATCTACAATACTGATAGCTAGAATAATCTGTGCTATATAAGGATTTTATTACGATTTATCTTTTATTTTCGAATCCATAAAATCATACGACTGAATGTATCATCGTCATCTGTTTAATTTAACATGGTATGTTCGCCTAAATGCGACACTCGTTAAAACTGTAAAAACAAACTTCATAATTTAAAATTAAAATGTACATATATTGTTAAAATAATCTAAATGTTTACCGAAGCATCGTTTCCTCAACTAACCCAGATAAAAAAATGGAAACATTCATTTTTTTTATTGCTTTAGTGTTATTCTTGCTTTAATTGCATTACATCTGGACCATAAAACACATCACAAATATGAAAAATGTGACGGCGTTTGATTGTAGATTACAATTCGGCCAACACTTAAAATGTGATTTAGTTATTTTTGGATCATGGATTATAATTCTGGCGTTACTTTAAGCTTCTCGATATGAATCTTTCATACAAAAATTTAAACTAAACATGTAACAGTTAGTTGTATAATAAAATTATAGAGAAATGAACATTATTCGCTTGTAATTAATCAGTGACTTTGGAAATTCGGTCTCATCAAAGGTCGTTAACTCCAATAAACGAATATTAATGATTGATATGAGCAACATATTTAAACTTAAACTTGGACAAAAAATAAAAGCAAAAATATATTTAACAGCAAAAATAAGAATGAAGGGTAATTTAAATTTACTTTTGTTTCACAAGCCATTCACTGATAAAATGTCAGCTTTCTTAAATAACGATGTAGCTTTGTTACAACTTTTTTTAAGCTTGTTAGTCTTTATAAAATAACCGAAAAACTCAATATTATATGAAGAAAAATATATTAGATATGGCATGATATATATACCTTAAATCTAATTTTATATCACCCATATTATAACTTTATAAGGCTAAACTTTGAAAAACAGTGACTAATTTAGAAAATACTAGTATGTACTAAAATTTCTGTCACCCGTGATGTTTTGTGTTGACGAAATATGTCATGCCCATCTTATATGTTATATATGACACATTGTATGTGAAACTAATATTAGTGAAGGTGTTTTTGCAAAACTTTTTTTCGTATCACTACGCTATTTATTTTGGTTCAATTTGCCAGTTTTTACCGTAACTTGTTTGGTTTTAAATTAAATCCTCAAAGTCGTAGCCTCATAGACAGAACTCGCATTAATTAAGAAAAGGTGCAGTGAAACCGTGAAGTGGGTATTCGTATTCTTACTCACAAATAGTAAGCTGGGGTTAGTCCACATTTCGCCTCGTCTCCCCTATTCAGACGCATCATCTTAAAGAGTAAAAACAAAAGACCAGACTGCTCAAGTGGATACTCTCACCTCCCTACTTATTAATGTCTAAATATATGTCGTTACTTTCTTCACAGGGGTAGTGTCATTAACACTACGCGATGATGGAACGGAACCGGAAACCTGTGGACGATCAACGAGCCCATCTCCGGGTCGAACACAATGTAGGTACTTGAGTGTACTGATTTTTTAGTCGATCGGAAGTTGGTATAATTTAAACAAAATTTCATCGCTTTTTCTACTTCCGAATGGACAGGGCGTTACGACTGAGATGAGACACACTTCTAAAGCGTGACAGGAAATTAAAGCGGCCTCAAAAAAATACGCTAAGTGGTGTTAACACACTTTGAATTGCTGCCAACCTTTACAACGATATTTGTCACGATAAGCACGTAGGGACCGAACGGGTGCAGTACACAAATTAAGGAGAGTCTTGGTTGTCTTATCGAATTATAACTCGGATTCAGTTTCCGGTTAACATAACTGCTACTTAAGATAATGGCTTTTCTAGAACTCTGGCAGCACTGATAATGGTTATAAGAAAACCTACACGTCGAGCTAACATTGAAGTGTCATTGCCAATTTTCGGGCGGGAATATCGCTACGAAAGACAATCTATTGAAGGACAGGTGGTGAGGGTACAATTAAGGGACAAAAAGTCGAAAGGCAAACCGAATTAAAATATGTAAACAATAAGGTGGCATATGGCAAAGTAAGATGCATTTCCGGTGTTTGACGTCACTACCATATAACTCGACTGCATGAGTATTTCCGGCCGGTCACGCGAAATGAACACCCATCAAGGGAATTGTTCCCACCGGTGATATACTCTTAATGAATAAGACACATCAGGTGGTGCTATATGGATTCCAATGAGGAAGTTACTGGTTAGATAATACGAATTATCTCTTGAGGCACTCGAAATTTCTCACGGCTTGTGGAACGGTTGGTCAGAGCTGTGCCTGGTTAGGTATATCGATAAAAAGTAGACACTAGACATAATAGTTCTTAAAAATGTTTCCTCATGTTCTTCTAATTTGTACTATGGATTTATAATCTTAGAAAGAGTTCTATGTGAATTTTTGCTTCCCGAGCGCTAATTTAATATTTTCTCAACATTTAATGATCCCAAGGGTACGAAAAATATGTCTTTCTTTTCCGTCTGCCTGTCCTTTGTTGGAGATTTTATTTGACGGATAATTCCTGAAACTACTGAATAGTATTGTGAAATTTTAGTGTGTTTTAAGACTGTTCTGTGGGTACATTGTAAACGCTAACCAAAATTTTGTCGGATCACCCTCACCAACAATTACCTATGTAAAATTTCAACTTTCTTCAATGTTCATCCAATTTAAATTTTTTAGTTTTTTTAGAATCCAGATTTTTCGAAAAATAATTAAAATTGTCAGTATAACATTTTACAGTTTAAATTAGAAACTGCCAAATTTTTCGAAATATGGCAATCTTTTTAACGTTATCATAAGCACTGTAAATTGCTAATAAACATTTATCTGTTTATTCCCTTCAAAAACTTGATGACGCTATTTCAAAATTTCGATAGATAAATGCTATTAAAAATGCATTGATATTTTTTAGAATTGCTTTTACAGATAACTCGAAAAAATAATATATGAAACAATTTATGTTATTGATTGAATCAAAAACGGTTTAGCTCAGTCCCAAAATTTTGTTAGTAATGTTGTTATTAATATCTATAAATACTAGTTTACGTACCGTTTCAACTTCAAAGACTATAGCGTACTTGTACAACAATATTATGTAAAAAGACGTAAAAAAGGGCTGAAGTACTACAGACATCTTCTATATAGGTATTGCATAATATTCGGAAGAACCCAAAGCGTGAAAATCTGCTGAAATCTACATACTGATAATATTTGTATTATTCTAACCAAACTTTTTATCGGGACAATTTAGAATACAATTTGTATGCGCACTTTAAAAATTCCCATTTCCTTAAAGGAACCGACTTTTTTAATCTAATCTTACGTGTTAGGTGGCAGTCCATTTCCAGTTTTAAGCATTGGGAAATATCCTATTGTTATCAAAGTTCAAGTGCGATTAGGGTTTTCTTCAGAAGATAAAAGCGGCAACATCAACTAATTTTACACATAATATTCCAACAAAAAACCACTTTGCGGTTGCTGAGAACAATAACAATTTTTCCGACTCTGTTTGGATTTTATTCGCGTTACCACACTTATTTTCTTCAGTCGACTGCTGCCAATGCGTATTTCCCCGTTTTTCTCGCGAACTGTAGTTAAGTCATTCCAAAAAGATAACTTATCCATGTCCTGTAACATGAATCACAACAAAATTTCCGCGTAAATCGTCTCTAATTCGACAGATTTAAATACACTAACAACTAAAGTGGACCTAATTGTCATACGAAATGCTCATTTAATATCCTGCCCGTCTCCGTATGAGAAAGGAACAAATCAAAGTAAACCCTTGCTGAGAAAATGCAGCCTAAAGGAAGTGCGTAATGAGGAAACTAGGGAGCGAAATAAGGCGGGATTGTGACGAAGACGGAATGATTGGGAGGTTAATTGGTGTTTTTAAATGTCGCCTCGAATTAAAATTGATAATCTGCTGGTATAAAACCCGCAACACAAAGGATGGATCTTTTAAAACAAAAGCATGTGAACGGGACTACCCAGATTTTGATACTGAACAGGACAAGTCGTTATCTAAAAAATGCAAACCGCTGTTTTTATCTACACCAAAGTCACATGAATAGTTATTGCTGTTTGTTTATTTCATCTAAATGTCATTATGTTCCCTGAACTGATCGCACTATCAAGTGCAAGTGTTAATACCGTTATCAAACTTGTGGGTGGTTCACATTAATTTTATGTACCACTTGTTAGATTTGTCGTTATCTCACAATTTAAGACACTTTGACAAGAATCATTTAGTGTCCGTTTGGCCGGTTACAAAACAAACAAAAAGTCTATTTTTTGTAATAAGGGGAATTAAAATAGGCTTAACAGATTTTTACGTATTTTAGATACTACAGATAATATTTCAAAAACAAATACGTTGGTAGTTTCGAGGAAATTAAAATTCTATAAAAAGGACACTGTAAATTTTAATAACTTTTTTAGGATTCGGACATGAATTTTAAAGCTGGCATAAAATTTATGTGTACACTGCGCAAATGTGGATAATTTTTTGTGGAAAATACGTTAAAATATTTACTTTTTAATCAAGTGAGGCAAGTTGCTATTAATGAGCATACATACGCAAATGAGTAAAATAGGCGCTTTGCTCTCGCGTCCACCACATTATTTTTTCTACGCCATTTAAAAACTTGTTAAAAATACCAAATCTTAAATGAAATTTTGTATCGAACTGAATTTAATTCCATTAGTAATTTTTTGTAGTAATTAAATTAACCGGAAGCTGGAAAAACTCGGCTGTTTCTAATTCGACGTTGTGCTATAAATTGACGACCAGCTTGTCGACTAGACTAGGTGGCAAAAATGTCTTTTTATGGTGGCAAACGTATTTGATTTATCTCGAGGGTGTATTCCCTCATATCAATACCATTAATTCACCCCTCTACACTTCATCGTGCAAACGTAAAGTCTTTGATATAAGAATCCCGCAGCATCTTTTCATGATCGTAATGAATGCGAAAAAGTATAGAAAGATTCAGTGCAATACATCTTTACATCACGTAGTTAAGAAGGAAAGGGTTGTGAGTGGTCTTCGGGGTCTCGAGGGGTAAGGAGGCTACCACCTCGAGTGGAAAATGTGATTTCTTCATCTCTCGCTTTGGCGTAGGGAAAATGATAGTTGTGGAACAGTGATATATTCAAAATAAAGAAATGATGCTAGGTGTCGACATTATGAATGCATAACTGTGATGTATTTAACGTCTTCTGATGCCTTTAATCATATCTCCTCGAATTGTTGCTGAATGTAAAACGGTAGCCACGAAGCTTGCAAACAAGATGTGTGCATCAAATATGCATATCTGTGTGCATTATTCTTGATTTGAAAAAAGTGATAATTTATGAAATGCAACAATACTCAGAAGTGCTGTAATTTTTTATTTTATTTGGTTATGAGTAGACCCACGGGTACAACAGTACTCAGGATTATTTAGAAATAATTATAAACAAAAAAGTTGTAAATTTTAGTGAACGAACCAGATGAATAGCATATTTTACAGAAGTTATCATACACCATAGTTTCAGCAACATATTTTATGCAGAACAATGACTTACATTTATTATCAAATAAGAAATGAAATTTTAGGGTTTCTTTTCAACTCCATTTGATAAGTAACAGTGTCCTAAGTCATCTTATCAAGTCTTCTCTGGTTGAATACGAATGCAGAACTTTTTTCACTAGACCTTGTTATACATTAGGAAAAATTGTTGGAGAACTACCACACCTGGGAAATCAGAAAACAACTTACAATAAATATCACATTAATAAATTTTCAAAAAAAAAAAAACATAAATATGCATAAGTTTTAGGATATTCCTGACTTTTTTACTGTTGTATCTTATATTTGTAAAATCCATCACTTAGTAATCCTCGAACGAGCAAGAAAAATGTAGCTGCAGTATTTCCTTGAGTCGTTATTCATTGCTGCAACGTTTCAAGTTTCGACAATTTCGTCTACTTTATAGAGGTGTTATAACAACGAACAAATGTCAAGTATCTCATATATCTGAGAAGTAATCTTTTTTATTGTATTGAGGTGTCTCTTTTATTAGTCAGTTTTATAATCTGAAACGGGGGACCGAAATGACTTTTAAAAAGAAATGCTTTAAAACATTTTCATGTTTATTATATTCTTGCGGTTATGGGTCCTCTAGGTAATTTCAAATTTACGCCTTGCACCCTACACTTTCGAAGACGTTTTATCGGCGTCACATAATAAGTTTCCCCTTTATTTTTTTCGCAGTACATTTATGATTTTGTTGAGAAATTTCAAGAGCAATTAGCTCGTGTTGAAGCACTTAGGACTACGCAACATGCCTTGAAAATCAACGATCGCCGATGGCTTGATAAACAAACGTGTAAGTAACAAGTTTTATTATAAAGTGAAGAAATAGGGTTAGTATTGATCTATTTAATTCACCGGCATTAAGTGGATTATTGTTTTGCTTTATAATTTTTTTTCAAGCTCGTGTGACGTTGATATATTCAATTTTAATTGAATAGAGTCGGTAAAAAAGCAGGTGGTCATATTGAATTGTCTGTGCTACCTAATCGTCGAGTAGAAAACAGAAAAACTAACTGCATTTTCCGCAGCCAAGATAAGCCACGTATTTAGATTACGTTTTTATAGATTTTGGGCCAAGCGAATATTAACATTTTTTTAAATTAATACTGTGATACGAGATATATATGTATTGTGGAATCTAATTATTATTATTCATTTGTTGTTTATTATAATATGTTTGTTATTTATTAAGTAACAATAATGTTCTTAATGACATCTTTTTAGAGGTAATATAGGTATATCTAAGCGACATAATTAATTGCTCAGCGCGGCAAGTTAAATAGTTTACGAGATTATCTCTCTAATAGAATATCCAGCACCGAGAGACGAAAGACACGGAAACGGGGGACCTATTATTTCATATTTTAGGAGTTACGAAACGTCGAGTGAGCAAAAAAATAGCGTTGAATATTTTTGTGACTTATTATTTATTATATTGAGGCAATATTAACGTAATACTTTTCAAAATAATGGGCGACTACTGCAGGGTTAATACTGTCGTTAATTTGTATCTACTTTTCTATTTTTTATAACTTGTCATTACTAAGATTTTTTTTCCATGTGATACGTATTTTGTCGTGGCAAATACTTCTTGTAGTGGAATATCACCTTTTGTCGTGCGATAACCTATTTTGACGGTTAATACATATATATTTTTGTCGTGCAAAAGATTTTTGGTCCGTTCTGTTAATAAATCTAACCCAACATAAATTGGATACAGAAAAGCAAATCAACTCGTTAAAACAACCGTATCGCTGTACTTCCCTTAACTATCATTCTGGAAATAAAAACTCATTTTTAGAACTACGTTCCCTTATTTTAATCCAATGTAACGATCACTGAAAAGGTTTAAACGATTCAGTTTCAAGTCGAGTCTGATCACCGTGAGATATCCAAGTTCCCTCATCCTCTTAACCACCATGTCTCCTAGAGAAATGTCGGAGATAGGGTTTCCTTCCTTCCGTACCTCGACGACACGTTCATCGCGCTATTATGCCACCTATTTACATATCTTCGTCCACTTTGAATTATTGAGTAGGTGGTACATTTTCCATCTCCAACACTGGGGTCGGGCAGAACGTAAAAAATTACTATTGCAAAGCCGGAAATGCATCAGGTTAATCAGGCAGATATCGCAGACACATCCACCATCCTACATAATTAATAGGGAATTATTAGCTCTTCTACCGCCGCCGCGTCGGTGATGTTTCGTCATATTTTTTATTTAAATTCGGTTCACTGTTTGGTTCATGATATTTTCCATTGCGAATAATTTAATTTTTGGCGTGTTTTTAGCCGAACGCAGAATGCGCTCTCTGTTATGATTTACCAGGTTTGGTTTATTGTTTATATGTACTGAAATTTGTATTTCAATTTGAATTTTAAATATTATCGATGCTGTTGATTTGGATTTAAATTTATTTAGTGTAGATTTCTCCTTTTAGGAATCTATAGTAGTAGCACTGTGTACCTAGCTAATAGTTACCTATTCAATATTTTGAAGTACTACTCGTAGTTTATATAGGTGGATCAAAAACACTGTTATTTTATTCGCTGACTTCAAAATATAAATATACATATTAATTTTAAAGAAAATATTTACAGTTAATTATTAAATGGCAGAAATATCTACAAATTCTAAAATAAAAATTGGACACACCTTATTTATTTTTATTATTATTTAAAAAAAAGTTTTTCTTGGTTAAATAATAAACACTAATTACTTTTGTGTGGCTAAACCCACTATAATTTGGTAATTTCGATTATTAAGACATTATTATTAAGTAAGAAAAAAACTTCTTAATAATAATAATATGTCTGATTTTCACTGATTTCCCATTGGAAGAAAAGAACTTCTAATTATTTCATATGTCAAAAAGTGAACCAAAACTTTAAAATCTGGAGAATGTTATATCGTACATACATAGTTTGTAAGGAATGAAATTGCTAAAGCCGATTGACAATCAGTTAAAAATTTCAAAATTTAAACTGCATCGTACACTGTTGTTGGAAATGTAAAGTCCACAGTCCATTTCTCACTTACATGAAGTAGGTCATAAGTTGAGCGAGTGGGAAGTAAGCCCAACTTAATATTCATTGTGCAATATATTATTATTATTACCTCCGGAACGCATATTGCACTTAATAGCCAAAAAAAACTTCGAATTATCTTTGTTTCGAAAAAACCATGAGAAATTTTTTGGTGGCTTTATACTTATCTAAAAATGTTGATGAGCTCGACTGCTTTTCTGCAAAAAATTTCTCACCGATCTGGGTATTTACGTAAACGCATAACTACATATTTTAAACATTACAGGCCCCACTGTTTGTTGTTTCGCTACTTCTGTGTCGGCCACTTAATAAAATGATCTAATAATGGCCTAGTTAACGTGATG